GGTACATTGCCACTTTGAAAAATTGGGGCAGAGAAGGAGAGAAGAGGTACTGGGTAGTCAAGACATTAGTACTTGAGGGCCTACTGTGCCAGACATTGTGCCATGCTCTTTCTGTGCATGGTCTCCCTTAATCCTCTCAACAATCCAGTGAGGCAGGGACTGTTATCCCATTTTACAGATGAGGAACCTGTGATGAGACAGGTCCCTTGCTCAAGGTCACCCAACTTATAGGTGGTGGAGCCAGTTCTTGAATCTAGGTCCAACTGACTCCAAACCCTATGTTCTTTGGGTTTGTCATGTTCAAAAAGTGACACATATGACCAAGCAGTCATCAAGTGCCAAGAAGTCCCTGTGATTTTTCAACAGTCACTGATTCCAAGTCTTCACGATGGTAGTCATGTCCTGCAAAGGACCAGCGGCCCATCTGGGAAAGGCTTGTGCTGTCTTAGCTAAACATCCATGCTCTGCATGGCCATATCCTCTGAACTGACAGTCGAGGGGACTCCAGGCTTTCGCATCATTGTGTTAAATCGAGCATTGCAGATCTTTTTTGTGCCAAGTCTCTTGACTTGAGAAGTCACGTGTGAGGTTGCTGGGAATGCACAGAGATGGGAAAATATCCTTTTAACCTTACACCCCATAACTTAGTAGGTAGGTTAAATGCTTAAGTCAGATAAGGTAGGGTTCACCTTTCTTATGCAAGACCCAGGAGCCATAGTAGCAAGGAACATTCAGAACCTCCAACATCTTAGGGACTAGAAAACTGCCCAGTGGCAAGGGGACTACCATTCTTACAGCCACCCTCGAAAGGCTTGTTTTGCAATAAATGTAAACTCATTTTCAAAAAGTACTGGCATAAATGGGAGTGTATATATTCATGTACACACACAGTAGGAACTGATATTTAAAAATTTTTATTTTATACGTTTATTTTTTTTAGAGATAAGATCTCACTGTCTCCCAGACTGGAGTGCAGTGGTGTGATCATAGCTCACTGCAGCCTTGACCTCCTGGGTTCAGTGATCCTCCTACCTCAGCCTCCAGAGTTGCTGGGACTACAGATGTGCACCACCATGCCTGGCTAATTTTTTTTTTTTTTACATTTTTTATTGAGACAGGGTCACACTATTTTGTCCAGGCTGATCTCGAACTCCTGGGCTCTAGGGATTCTCCTACCTTTGTCTCCCAAAGTGCTGGGATTATAGGTGTGAGCCACTTGACCCAGCCAGGACAAAGATTTATGGTTATAAAATTAGCTCCAAGATTTAGAGATTAGCAGACTCCATGATGTGGGGTCAGTTGTTTATGAAAACAGTATTAAATGTGGTTACCATAATCAAATTGAGCTTTAGGGTCATCTGGCTTTGAAGGCAAAGGCTATTTTCTCTACTATTTTTCTTTGTTTTTGAGTTGGAATCTCACTCTGTCACCCAGGCTGGAGGGCAGTGCCACGCTCCTGGCCACTGCCGCCTTGAACTGTTGGGCTCAAGCAATCCTTCTGCCTCAGCCTTCCAAGTAGCTGGAACTACAGGCACATGCCACCATGCCTGGCTAATTTTTTGATTTATCACAATAAATCAACACCACGTGTTGCCCAGACTGGTCTTGAACCCATGGACTCAGGCAGTCCTCTCACCTTAGCCTCCCAAAGTGCTGGGTTTATAGGCGTGAGCCACTGTGCCCGGCCTTACTTTTCTTATTTATTTATTTTTTAGTCAGAATCTCATTCTGTTGCCCAGGCTGGAGTGCAGTGGCACGATCACAGCTCACCACAGTCTCGACCTCCTGAGCTCAGGTGATCCTTTCATCTCAGCCCTCCCAAGTACCTGGTGCTACAGGCGTGTGCCACCACACCTGGCCAGTTTTTTGTAGAGACAAAGTCTTGCTGTGTTGCCTAGGCTGCTCTCAATCTCCTGGGCTCCGTCCTCCCTCTTTGGCCTCCCAAAGGGCTAGGATCACAGGCGTGAGCCACTACTGCTTTCTCATACCCCCACATGCCTGTTCCAGTGGGGACTATATAGGTATTTAGCAAAGACATGGTCATTAATCAGCAAAGAAAGAAAAATTCACATGTCGGTTGGTTGGGCTAAGACACTGCACCCACAGTCCTTGCGTCCGGGAGTTGAAGAGTCAGTCCTTCACTTCTTTTTTTTTTTTTGATTTGGAGTCTCATTCTGTCACCCAGCAGACTGGAGTGAAGTGGCACGCTCCTGGCCACCACAGCCTCGACCTGCTGGGCTCCAGCGATCCTTCCGCCTCAGCTTTCCAAGTAGCCAGAACTACATGCACGTGCTACCACACCCGACTAATTTTTGATTTATTGTAGAGACGAGGTCTTGCCAAGTTGCCCAGGCGGGTCTCAAACCCGCGGGCTCAGGCAATCCACTCCCCTCAGCCTCCCAAAGTGCTGGGATTACAGGCTGAGCCACTGAGCCCGGCCAGTCCTTTACTTCTAATGTCATATGTGTGGGTGGCATATGGCTGTCACTCTCTGGCTTTTACGACGAGGTACTATTTATCTTTGCGGTATGAATGACAAGAAGGTACGGTTACTTGGGTTTCACAATCACAGTCACCACTTGGAAATATCAGAGCAAGTGAAACCACAGCAGTGTGGCTGGTCGCAGAGCTCCTGTGACTTGGCCAGGATGTGACCCAGAGGGCAGCCGGAGCTTTCGCTATCCTGGCAATAGCCGTAGCACATCCTCCATGGGTGGCTCCTGAATGTGAGAAATAGTGAAGGGGATAATGCCGACTTAGCAACGTGACTGCTGGTCGGGTTACACTGGTCTGGTTATGGAGGACTAAAGAAAGGAAAGGCAAAGTTTAAACTGATCGTGAAAAATAATGAGAAAAGCCGGGCGCGGTGGCTCACGCCTATAATCCCTGCATTTCGGGAGGCCGAGGTGAGAGGATTGCCTGAGCCCATGGGTTTGAGACCAGCCCGGGCAACTTGTGAGACCTCATCTCTATACAATAAATCAAAAAATTAGCCAGGCATGGTGGCGCATGCCTGTAGTTCCAGATACTTGGAAGACTGGGGAGGAAGGATCGCCTGAGCCCAGCAGGTCAAGGCTGTGGTAGCCAGGAGCATATCACTGCCCTCCAGCCTGGGTAACAGAGTGAGACTCCAACTCAGAAAAAAAAAAAGGAGGTCCAAGCAAGATGCACTATTTTTTTTTCCCACAAAGCTTGGGATTTTCTTTTTTTTTCCTAGTTGGAGTCTCACTCTGTTGCCCAGGCTAGATAGAGTGCACACTCATGGCCACTGCAGTCTCGACCTGCTGGACTCAGATGATCCTTCTGCCTTAGCCTTTTATTTATTGTAGAGATGAGATCTCGCCAAGTTGCCCAGGCTGGTCTCGAACCCGTAGGCTCAGGCAGTCCTCTCACCTCGGCCTCCTAAAGTACTGGGATTATAGGCATGAGCCACCGCACCCGGCCAGCTTGGGGTTTTCATGGAAAAGGCATTAGTACCTGGACAGTGAAACATTTGACTGCTTTTCTGTTTTTTGTACCTAGTTAAGGCCAACAGAACCACATCCAGTGACAGCAGACCCTGTCTTGGGGGTTGTATCTTCACTTTGTATTGACATTCTAACCAGCTCTCACTAAGGTGACTTTGTCCTGAGTCTTACTGCTTTGTGGTAGCTAAGGATCTGAGTTGTGCAAGGACACCTGGCGTCTGGCCACCAAGATGTCAGTGAGCAGCTTTTCTGTTCTCTCCACTCGTGCTGAAATGGAAGCCTCTCTGGCTTGACCATTTGGAGGAGTGGTGGATCTTAAGGCCAGGACCCTTTTACCCTTGGTAAAATCTTCTGCCCCATCTGAGGGTCCTGGGGCTGGGAGGGAGTGAGTCCCCCTGCCTCTTCAGTCTAAATTCTACAAAGCTTGTGGAGCCACTGTTGTGTCTCTGGTGCCAGGCGATGGAATGCAGACAACTGGGTCCCTGCCTAAAGTGGGGTGGGGGAGAAAGGCAGCTTACAGTAGGATGCGGGCTGTGAGGAGGAGCCCTTGACTGTGTCCCAGAAGCTCCTCCCTAGCCTCAGTTCAGACTGTGACCCACCACCCAGCCCGTTCTCCTTTCGTTTCCCAGTCTGAGTGTGTATAGGCCATGGACACACACACACAGAGGCGAGGGAAAGAGAGCCTGTGGCACATGGGCTCTGGAACTCACCTGGGCTTAAACACAGGCTACACTCTGTTCCACCTGTACCATCTTGGGCAAACCACCCATCTTCTCTGTGCCTCAGTTTCCTTATCTCTAAACTCTAACTAATAATACTTTATAGAATCATTGTTAGGTCAGTTATTGTGGATTCCTCTTTGAGCAGTCCCCTGATAGGACAAATAAGACGTCATATGAAGAGGTTACGGTGTCTAGCCTCTGTTCACCATCTCACCTCAGAGAGTGAGAATTATGCTGTCAATTGTGCTTTGGGCTGTGCTAGACACCAGCGGGGGAGATCTTGGGCTCCGGAGCCTTCTGTCCAAGCCCCAGACAGACAGATACAAACAGCAAAGGGGCAAGGCGGGATCAGTAGCATGGAGCACAGGAATAGCCTTCCTGAGACTGTCACGTGTGCATTGGATTCATTCTCTCATTCAGTGGTGTTTGCAGAGCCCTGAGCTATCCCAATTATTGTGCAGAGGTTCTGGGCATACAATGACCGGCCCCATGGGCCCTGGCCAGAAGGAATGCATGTCTAGCTGGGAGCTAGATGAGTCAACACACAGTTATGGTCCAGTGTGATTTGTGCGACAAGGGGGTCAAGCATAAGGTCCCATTCCAGACTAGAAGTATGTGTCAGCTGTGACTTCCTGGAGGTGGTGACATTTAAGCCAGATCCCCAAAGGAGAGAAGCTAGGCCGGCAGAGAGAGGGCATGGGCATGGGCATGAAAAGCGTTTGTGCAAAGGCCTAGAGGTGATGGAGCGAGCAGTGCGTTCATCATGGAGGCTTGACTGTGGAACTGGTTGAATGTGCTGCTATCGTTGCAGGGACGCAGAGAAGGTGGAGCGGCAGGCGGTCCCCCAGGCCAACCACACGGAGTGCTGTTGCGAGTGTGGCCGGGAGGCACCCAGACACGCAAGGGATTGTCCTCACCGAGGCCACGATGACTTCTTTGACTTCGAGAGGCAGGAACAGGAGGGAGAACGGCACCGGTCCCAGAGGGACCCCCTGGAGGGCAAGCGGGACAGGAGCAAGGCCAGGTCTCCGTACTCGCCGGCCGAGGAGGATGCCTTGTTTGTGGATCTACCCGGTGGCCCAAGAGGCCAGCAGGCTCAGCCCCAGCGGGCAGAGAAGAACGGCGTGCTGCCTGCCTCATACAGCCCAGGAGAGCAGAATGGGACTGGCGGGTACCAGCGGGCTTTCCCACCCCGGACCAATGCTGAGAAACACAGCCAAAGGAAGAGCAGCCTAGCCCAGGTGGAGCACTGGGCGAAGGCCCAGAAGGGGGACAGCAGGAGGTCAGTAACAGACTCAGTTTGCTGCTTGTAACGAGCATGGTGACGTAGTGGCAGTAGCCATCAATTCCCAGGGCTGGCCGCGTCAGTGCCGGCCTTTAACTCTTCACCACCATGATCCACACAGATCCCCATAACAACCCTGCAAGAAGGGGTGATATTCCTAATTTAGAGACAGAGAGACTGGGACCTGGGGAGGTGAAGGAACCCACCTACTCAGGGTACAGCCAGAGGTCAAACTCAGGTCTGTGAGCTTCCAAAACCCTCTGTGGTCACGCTGGAGGCTTCTGTTCCCTGGAGAGAAGGCCTTGAGACGTTCACCGTCTAGAAGGTAACTGATCTTCTCCTCTTGTGCTGCCGTGTGTCTGCATCCAATAAATGTTGGTAGAAACCAGGGTAAATACAGATTCATGTTTCATTCCAGGCCCATAGAGAAGGGCTTAGGCACTGTTGATATTTAGAAGGCATGCCTCTCCTCCTACTTAAAAAGCACTGTCTGGGTTTTATTATAATTCTAGATTAATTAGGACACATTTATGAACGTGGAGAATTCAGGGTCACCAGCTTCCCTGTTGTCACCAGAAGCCACTGTGCTTTGTCTTCATTATGAAGACTTGGCAGGGTCCCCTCACTATCCTCAGGCTTCTAAACAAAACACGGAGAGAGAGGAGACAGGAAAGCCAGTGTGCATTCAGTGAGCTCCGTGGGGGCTGGAGTGGCTGCATTGGCTGGGCCAGCGCTCAGACCGAGTCTGCCACAGGCCTGACAACGTGTTCTAGAATGCCACACTTCATCCTCCCTGTTGGCGAGGCCCAGACTTGCCAGCTGTGGGCTCTGGAGATGGTAGTGCCAGATGGGTCGTCTAGGTATGTGCGTGTGGTATGCATGTGGGGCTGCTGTAACCCCTTTATTCTGGTCCAGCTGAGCAGCTGTGAGAGTGGATGGTGGATCAATCACAATGAAAACCACCTAAGTGACTGAGAGATGTTGTGGAACTCACCAGGAGAAGGGAATGCCTATTGTGTAATAGCTAAGATATCCTCCCATTCCCCCAGGAATGCCCAGTTGACAACTCTGTTCCCATGTTGCGTCTTACTGAAAACAGAAAGCTACTACCCAAGGACACAGGGTGCTGCTCTCCCTGGTTCTGGGCTGGGTGGGGTCCATGGTGGGTGGTTGTAAGGTGACCTTACTACTAAGTATGCTTGGAAGGTTGGCAGGGTGGTATCATATAGGTCCTCAAACTCCAAGGGAAGGAATTTGATTTTTATTTCAACAAGCAATAGGGGGCCCACTGGAAGGTTTTAAGCCGATAAATGATATGATCTGATTAATATTTCACAAAGAAGACAAGAGTCTAGAAAGCAGGCTCTTACAATAATCCAGGAGTGACCATGGAGATGGGAAGAAATCGACAGATTTGAGGTGCGCTTTGGAGATTGGAACAGCGATACTGGTCAGTGAATTGGATACGTAGGATGAAGGAAAGGGAGGAATGAGGATGAGCTCTAAAATTTCTGACTTGAGCAAATGGGTGGTTGCTGAGCTGGGGAGGGTTGGGAGGGGCCAAGTGTGGGGGAAATCAGGATTTCCATTCTGGACGGGCAGGTGGGGGGGCCATGATGCACCAGACGCGGGCACAGGAGGGAGAAGGGAGCTTGGCGAGATGTGCGGTGCCTGTGGAGTATCAGAGGGAGTGTCCGGGGAATGTGAGTACAGGCTGTGGTGGGATTCAGAAGTCATTGCCCTAAGGGGGTGACTGGCAGTAGTCAAGATTGTCCAGGGTGGAATGCTGGGAGCTGTGATTCTTAACCTTGGCTGTACATTTTGATCATTGCTTGGTTGCACATCGAAATGGCCTGGAGAGGTTTAACATTTGCTGGGCACAGTAGCTCACACCTGTAATCCCAGGATTTCGGGAGGCTGAGGTGAGAGGATTGCCTGAGCCCACGGGTTGGAGACCAGCCTGGGCAACTTGGCAAGACCTCATCTCTACAGTAAATAAAAAAATTAGCCGGGCATAGTGGTGCATGGCTGTAATTCCAGCTACGTGGAAGTCTGAGGCAGAAAGATCGCCTGAGCCCGGCGGGTCGAGGCTGTGGTGGCTATAAATTGCCACTGCACTCCATGCAGCCTGGGTAACAGAGTAAGACTCCTGGTCCCCCCTCCCCAAAATATACTGAGGCTCCATGCCCCCAAATCCCAAATTGGATTCCCTTGGTTTGGGTTGCAGCCTGGACTTCAGAGTTTGTGAAAACCACATCCTTCCCTTCCCCTCCTCCCTCAGCACCAGGGTGGAGGGTCCCTAGCTTAGAGTGAACAGAGCTGACAGCCAGTGAGAGAACACTGAGGATCTCAGTCCAAGAGGCAGGCAAAAGCCAAGTCTCCATAAAGGAGGTGAGGAGGAGGCGTCAGGGAAAACCCAGAGTGTTCTGTGGGGAGGAGGTTCAGTTGCAAGGAGTCCTGTCAGCATGCAAGGGACCGCAAATAGGGACTTTTCCCTGGGTTGGGCACCCTCCGAGGAGGCAGGGCACATGATGGAAGGTCTGGAGCCCCAGGGTCTCTGCTGGTCTTCTGCTCAGTAGCAAAGGCCTTTTTTCCATACAGCTGCCTGATGGGCTTAGACAGGCATGCCTGAATCGCCCTTCTTGATAGACTTAGAACTTTGAAGTTGGGGCAGGGGCCAGAGTAACAGAAGGAGAAGAAACCAGTAAGACGGCACGGCTGACGAGAGACTCTTTGCGGCAGGGGCACAGAAAGGACTTTCAGAAGCTGGGTGACTGATAGGCAGTGATACGTTGCTGGTTATGAAACGTCTCTGTGCTCCTGTTCTGGCAGCCTGTGAACCGACATGATTCTGCCGCACAATAGCCTGGGTTTGGGGACTGGGGGAGGGGATGCATCAGGGACCGTGCACCACCACACCCAGCTAATTTTTTATCGAGAGGTCAGCAAGGACATGAGAGGGGGTTGGGAGCACACTGAACTTTCCCTGGGATGTGAGTAGGAGCTTGAGCCGTTCTTACACAAGGGACAGGGAGGCCCCAGGGCTGCAAAGGAGAGCAGTTCATTGGCTTTGGGGGTCCCTGAACACACAGTGAGAGAGAGGAATTTCAGGCCAGTGGGGGAAGCAGATCTCAGTGGGCTGGAAAGTGCAGAACTGAAGGAGAATAGAGAGAAGAAAGTGCTGTCAACCCCTGAGCAGTGTGCCTGCTCAGTCTCTGATCATTCACTTGTATCTTAAAAGGTCTGCGTCTTGCATTCTCAGATTTTTTAAAAAAAGATAATACGTTATTGTAATCTCTTACAGTGAGTGATAAATAGATTTGGCAGCTTAGTAAAGGAACCGCTTCCATTTTCCATTTGAAAATGTAGAGGCTGGGCGTGGTGGCTCAACCTGTAGTCCCAGCACTTTGGGACGCCGAGGTGAGAGGATTGCCTGAACCCGGGGGTTCGAGACCAGCCTGGGCAACTTGGTGAGACCTCGTCTCTACAATAAATCACAAAAGCTAGCCAGTCGTGGTGGCGTGTGTCTGTAGTTTCAGCTACTTGGAAGGCTGAGGCGGAAGGATCACCTCAGCCCAGCAGGTCAAGGCTGCGGTGGCTGTGAGCGTGCTATTGCATTCCAGCCTGGGCGACGAGAGTGAGACTCCAACTCAAAAAAGAAAAAAAAAATATAGAAGATGGATATCTCTGCTTTGCACACAATTTAGACTGTGCTCATCTCATTAGACTGAGCACACTAAGACATTGGAAGGAGTTTTTTAAAATTGTTTTTATTTTTTAATTTATTTTAACGACGTGGGGTACAATTCAGGGTTAGGTACATAGTGGTCATCATGCAGGTGAAGTTTGGGCCTCCTGTGGGTCCTCACTTTGCCTGGTTTGGGATCAGGTACACTTATTAGTGTCATGTGCCCCCCCTCCCCTGGCAGTGAATCCCTTTCATGTAGTTATGGTAAATGTTCAGGGTCTACTTATGAGTGAGAACATGTGGTACTCAGTCCTTTGTTTCTGTGATAGATAGCTGAGTATGATGGACTCTAAATCCATCCAAGTTGTTGCTAAGTCCATAATTTTGTCCTTCTTTATAGCTGTATAATATTCCATTGTGTATGTGTGCCACATTTAAAAATCCAGTCCACTTTCGATGGGCAGCACAATTGGTTCCATGTTTTTTGCTATTGTGAATAGTGCTGCAAGAAACATGCGTGCGCAGGTTTCTTTTTCATAGAATGATTTGAGTTTGGAAGGAGGGTTATTTGGACCGCAGAATGATCCTGTATTCTTGGCTGTAGACCACACAGGGAATTACTTCTACCTGGAGAGGTGTGTTATGTTTCACGTCATTAAGCTCCTCTAGAATATGGTTTGTGGAGACAGACTGACTTAGAATCTTACCAAATCTTAAGAGCTTGTTTTGAAATTCTAGCCTCCCACTCCCCACCCTGCAGTGTTTAAAGAAATGCATACTTGTAGGGCGGATTGGGGGTGGGGCAGAGCCAACAGACTGAAACACTATAAGGAACGGAATAGAAAGTGACCGTCCTGTGTGATTGATGGGGGTTCGGGTGATGAATATCTTCCACGTGAGTAATTGGTGATAAAAATGACCCTGCATTTTGACATCACTGTTTTCGTAGTGGCTGTATCAGAATATCCTAGTTAGTGACGGGGCCACAGGGCCAGAGTGTGAGGAGAGCTTGAGCTCCTTTATGGGGAAGGGCTGGGGTCGGAAATCAGCACGTGGATTTCCTGTCGGGGCAAAGTTGCCCCATCGCTCCCTCCTGCTCCCATGGGGTCTTCCCCTCGTCTCCTTCCTGTGTCCCTCCTCCACCTCTGGTCAGGTGGAAGGCCTCAGTTTGGCCTCTTGAACCAGGGTTCGCCATTGTACTGGCATCTTGGGGTCACCCCCAAGTGGCAAACAATGTGGAAATGAAGGGTACAGTTTGGAGGATGAGCTCAGGGCTTGGGACGCTGCTTGGTGGGTGGGACTCTGACTTTCTAGACACTGTAGGCAGACACCAGAATGGGATTTTTGGGTGGGAGCACAGCTCGGACATGTTTGCATAGTTTGCATTTTTTTTCTGGGCAGAATGAACAATGGCCAGTAAAGTTCTGAACTTCCCGGCCAGGCCCGCCTGTAATCCCAGCACTTTGGCAGGCCAAGTTGAGAGGATTGCTTGAGCCCAGGAGTTTGAGACCAACCTAGACAACATAGCAAGACCTTGTCTCTACCAAAAAAAAGAAAGTTACCAGGCATGGTGGCACTTGTCCTAGCTACTTGGGAGGCTGAGGCAGGAGGATCACCTGAGTCCAGGAGGTTGAGGCTGTGGTAAGCCATGATCGTGCCACTGCACTCCAGCCTGGGCGACAGAGTGAGACTCCCACTCAGAAAAGAAAAAAAAAGACCTGAACTTCCTCGGGGAAGCCCCCATTCTGCTTTCCTTCACTGCTACCACCTCTGAGGACTCAGGCAATGCCCTGTCTCAGATATTCGGCTAACTTTGGAAAATGGATAGCAAACCCTGCCACCTAGTGGCAAGCAGACACATTGCACAGGTATATGACCAGAGGGTCGAAGAGATGTTAATGTTATCTCCTGCAATTATAAAGATATAACCATTAAAAGGAAGAGAAAAAAGCTACCATCTTTGAATGACAACCATTTCTAATTCTCACATCAACTTGCTAAGGGGTTATTATTATCCCCATTTTAGAGTAAGGACAAGGGTGACACTTGCCTGAGGTTGTATAGCTAAAAAGTAATTAAATGAGTTGAGTTGAGTTGAGAACAGCACTTCTCAAACTCTAGGAAGCCCCAGAATTGCCCAAAGGGCTTGTTAAAACACTGGTGGCTGGGCTCCACCCCCAGAGTGTTGAATCAGTAGGTTAGATTCCACATACATGGGAGCTCATGCAGTACTTGTTTTCCTGTACCTGGCTTGTCTCACTAACCCATCTTTTTAACGAGCTCCCAGGTGGTGCTGATGCTCTAGCCCACAGGCCACACTTGGAGTAGTGTTGCTTGGAACAGTGTCTGGCACGGAGTAAAAAGTTTGTTAGATAAAATTGATGGGGCCAGGCGCCATGGCTCATGCATGTAATCCCAGCACTTTAGGAGGCTGAGGCGGGAATATTGCTTAAGTCCAGGAGTTAGAGACCAGCCGAGGCAACATGGTGAGACCTTGTCCCAACAAAAAAACCCCCAAAATTAAGCTGGCCATGACAGCACACACCTGTAGTCCCAGATACTTGGGAGGCTGAGGCGGAAGGATTGCCTTAGACCAGGAGGTTGAGGCTGTGGTGAGCCGTAAGTGTGTCACTGCACTCCATCCTGGGTAACAGTGTGAGACCCTGTCTCAAAAAAATAAATAAATAAAATTGATCAATACAGGCGAGTCAGAATCGAACTCAGGGCTGTCTGACTCTGAAACCCATTCTCTTTGTACAATATCACACTGTGTCTCAGACCAGACTTTAAGGCTTAGTAAAACACCATTTTGTCCCTTGCCAAATTTTTCTTCCTTCTCAGAAAATAAGATGACTAGTTGGTGGTAGTTTTCAAAATCATATCCAGCTTTTGTATGCTGGAGTTAGCGTTTATGGAGAGGCTGGCTATGCATCAGAAGTTTCTTAGATGGTGGACGGTACCACAGAGTGTGAGACACGGTTCTTCTCTTCCAAGAATTTTCAGCTTGGCCAGAGAAGAGATGTCTTTCAAGTATTAAAAGGTCACATCGATACAGAACCTTGGAAAAGTTACAGACATTACGATAACTAGGTCAGGCAGTGAGGGACCGCTGAGGGCTGTGGCATTGAGGAAGGCCCTTATGGGAGGGACGTGGACCAGAGTCCTGGAGAATGAGGGAGATTTGGGTAAGTAGGGTGAGGGGAACCCATACAAGTGGGCGAGGAAAGTGACCTCCTTGGTGAAGGACTGTGTGAGTTAGGACTGTGTGAGGTTGCATTTCCTAACCTGTCGGATTTATTCCTCAAAACAGCCTTATGAGGCAGGGAATACTGTCCTCACATTACAAGTTAAGGACATGGAATTCAGAGCAGTCAGGGAAGCTGCCTAGGGTCACACGGCAGCGAATGTAAATCTCGGACTCAAACCCAGGTTAGACTATCTATCTACCTTTGCTTTTCCTACTGCGAGAAGTTGCTCAGTTGTGGAGGAGACTGGGCTGGGACTAGGGTAGGACTCACCCTCCTGCATCCCAAGCGTAGAGGTGCACCTGAGATGAAATGCCTCATGGGGCCCTAGGCATCTGGCCTGGCCCTGTTAGCAGGACCAGTGAGAAAACAGCAAGACTGTAAGACTGGGTGGTCAGGTGCTAGACAGCTGTGGATGCTGGACTAAGGAGTTGAGATTTTATTTCACAAGCAGTGAGAGCCATGGAAGCTTTTGGTGCAAGGGAGTGGTTGGATCAGAGCAGTTGTCTGTGGATAGGGTGACTAGTTGTAGGAGGGACTCACAGTGGTCTGGGGGGAGCTAATTAGTTTCAGGACTAGAGAAGTCAAGAAAAAGGCAGGAACTGATGCCAGCCACTTGCTTCAAGGACCTCCAGAACTTGGTGCTAGGATACCAAATCCTGGTAACCCGGAGAAGTGTGAGGTCTTGCCTAAAAATGCACACATTTGTCAGAAGAGCCGACTACTGGCAGCAGGGAGAGGAGGAAAAGCCAGACCTAATCGCATCGCACTTGAAGTGATGGGCGTGCGGCAGCCAAGTCGTCCTGGCAGGGGTGGTTGACAGAGAAAAATGGTTTGGAGTCTTTGCAAGAGGGTTAACGACTGAAGTCCTGGCTGTCGGCTCTGATTGTTCTTCTGAGGTTCTTACTCCAAAAGACTCTCCTGCATGCCTGGCTTTGTGGGTTTACCTGGCTGTGTTCCCCAAAGCCAGCGGACCCTTTGCTGGCTTGCCTGATCTGTCCTTCCCCTTTCTTCTCAGCCTTCCCTTAGACCAGACGCTTCCTCGCCAGGGTCCCGGCCAGTCGCTGCCCTTCCCAGAAAACTACCAGACTCTTCCCAAGAGCACCCGGCACCCCTCAGGGGGCTCCTCGCCCCCTCCCCGGAACCTGCCGAGCGACTACAAGTACGCGCAGGACCGAGCCAGCCACCTGAAGATGTCGAGCGAGGAGCGCCGGGCGCACCGGGATGGCACGGTGTGGCAGCTCTACGAGTGGCAGCAGCGCCAGCAGTTCCGGCATGGCAGCCCCACGGCGCCCATCGGCATGGGCTCCCCAGAGTTCCTGGAGCAGGGCCGGAGCAGGAGCATGCTGGAGGTGCCCCGCTGCATCTCTGTGCCTCCGTCGCCCTCGGACATCCCGCCCCCGGGGCCCCCCAGGGCCTTCCCGCCCCGGCGGCCGCATACGCCAGCAGAGAGGGTCACTGTGAAGCCGCCGGACCAGAGGAGGAGTGTGGACATCTCCCTGGGGGGTTCTCCCAGGAAGGCACAGGGCCATGCTGCCAAGGTGAGGCCCGGCAAGCTCCACCAGGCCGCTGGGGCCCAGCGTCAGGGCGCCGGGAGCCTGGCCCGGTTTGCACACACATTGGAGCAATTTGGGATGATGATCATGCTTACATAGTACTTTTCGGTGCCAGGCGATTCTAGAAACTTTAATTCTAACCACAACCCTATGAGGTAGGTGCTATGCTTATGCCCATTTCAAAGATGAGAACGGAGGCGTTGAGAGACAAAGAAACTCACACGGGGTCACACATCTAGAAGCCTGCTCCCTTGCCATCTGGAAGGCAGGAAATGATGTCTGTGTTCGACCAGTTCAACGATTTATAGTAGCCCAACTTAAGTTTTCATTTTTCAAGGGGCTTTCACAGTTTAGCGTTGTTATACCCCAGGGGGAGGTGTGTATCCCCATTTTACAGACAAGAAGTGCGAGGCTCAGAGAGGGGATGGGGCTTGTGGTAGGCTGCCCTGGGACTGAGTGGCAGAGGTTCTGACCCCAGCTGACCACAAGGCCCGGCCCCCAGAGTGACTGCCTGTCTCCCACCTGCAGAACTTGTCTCACGTGGACCGCCGCTCCATGCCCTCCATGGGGTATATGACCCACACCGTCAGCGCTCCTAGTTTACATGGAAAATCGGTAAGCAGTGCCTCTCCCGCACCCCACCCCACCCTCCAGTGGATGGTATAATACAGCCTAGTGAGCCCTCTTGTATCCCGTGTCTTCCTCCCTCTGAGCCAGCCAAAAGTAGTTCACAGGGCTGCTATCAATCCCCTCTTTAGAAATGAGGAAACTAGATTGGGTGCCGTGATTCACCCCTGTAATCCCAGCACTTTGGGAGTCCGGGTGAGAGGATTGCTTGCCCAGGAGTTCAAGACCAGCCTTGGCATCATAGCAAGACCTTGTCTCTACAAAAAAAAAAAAAAGCCAGGCATGGTGGTGTGCACCTATAGTCCCAGTTACTCAGACTGAGGCGGAATAATCCCCTGAGCCCAGGAGGTCAAGACTACAGTGAGAGGACACCAAGCTGGGTCTCAGAGAAGTAGAATGACTTGCTTGGGGCCACCCGGCTGGTATTAGGTTCTCCCCAGATCAGGGGAAGAGCTTGGGGAAAGTGGAGGATGTTGGGCTTGTGTCCTCTTTCAGGTAGTGTTGCCAGAAGTGTTTGCCAGCCAGCCATCTTTTCTCCTCAGTTTCCCTCCTTTCTGCCCTGGTCTTTCCTTTGATTTGCAAACTCTGCCATCAAAACTCAAGTGTGGGCTGGGCGCGGTGGCTTATCCTGTAATCTCAGCACTTTGGGAGGCCGAGGCAAGAGGATTGCTTGAGCCTGGGGGTTCGAGACAAGCCTGGGCAACTTGATGAGGGCTTGTCTCGACAATAAATAAAAAAATAAGCCAGGCGTGGTGGTGGTCGGTGCCTATAGTTCCAGCTTACTTGGAAGGCTGAGGAGGAAAGGATCGCCTGGGCCCAGCAGGTTAAGGCTGCAATGGCCGTGAGCGTGCCACTGCACTCCAGCCTGGGTGACAAGAGTGAGACTCAAACTCAAACTAAAAAAAAAAAAAAAAAAGCGGGTCAGGTTGCACTGTCAGTTGTTGCTTACCTGAAAAAACAACTTCCTGCAGCTCCTTTGCTGCCAGGGCCTTCATTTGTCCTAAGGACAGAATGAATGCAGTAATTGCTCACTGGTGTCACATCAGTGCTGTCCCGGCACCCGGGTGGAGAGTGTAATAACAGCGGTGAGCCCCTGCTGTGGCTAACCTCCCCATGATGTGTCTGTACACCTGCAGCTAGAGGAGCTCTCACTGCTTCTCACCCGGTTACGGCGGCACCAGGCCAAATTGGCCAGTGTGCGGGATTTCGCTGTTGGCCAGTTGCTGCAGCACCAGCTGACCTTTCCCGCCTACCAGGTCAGCGCTGGTGGCTCTCTCGGGCCGGGGCAGGGGAGTGGCGTGCTGGCTCGTGTTCCCTCGTGCCCGCACTCTAGTCTGTCTTTGCTGTCTGGTCCTCTTCCTCATTCCGTGCCTGTTTGCTTCTGGATGCTTCTGCCAGATGCTATGCGTGGGAGATGGAGCCCACCCCTCTGGCGCTGGGGATGGGGGTGCTGCATGTGGTGGGAGAGACATGAACTGTTGCTTCTCTGGCTGTGGGTAGTGACTGCCAGGCTGGTGTGTGATGATGTCAGTGGGCTGTGCCAGCTGTCAGCCTTGTTGCCACCATGGGCAGTCCTTAGGATGCTGATAGGCATGTGTGGGTCAGGCTGGAGGGAGGATATAGGGTGCCCATTTCCACCCGGATGGTCCCCTATCCACTCACAAAGCATCTTATATCCCATGTCCTGTTGAGTCTAACAGTAGGCCGGGAGAGAGGTCAGCTAGGACAGGAGTTGAGACTGCACAAGGCAAGTGGATCCACAAGGCAAGTGGATCCAAGGCAACTTGCTTGGATCTCTCAGCTAGAATCATGCAGACTGGAGCTCACATCCGGGGCCTGTCTGGCACGGTGTTCTAAACTCTTCCCAGTCATCAGGCCTTGCAGGCAAACTTCTTGAAGACTGGCCAGGGAGTTGGTCTCCCGGGCATCTGAGGCACCTTAAGGAAACTGGTTCCTCTCTGGGGTTGAATAGTTTCTTAGGAAACTATTCCTAAGGCAGGGATAGTTTTAGCCACTTGAGGCTGATCCTTCCAGGCCACATAGAGGTGGGCAGAGGACACATGAGGAGGGTGACAGGATAGTCTCCTTCTTTCCCTGTCCTGTTTTGTGAGTTATGAGGGACTCAAAACGTATTTGGAAAAATGAATATAAGTCATTTGTCAACTTGTCGATGTGGGTGATCTTTAGTAGTGTTCCTCTGCTGTGTCCTCACACCTGCAGAAAGTGTATAGGGACTGGGCTGATTGGGGCAGTATGGATGGGTAAGGGGACAGTTTAGGGACAGAAATAAGACCTTGCAAACCACTATTAGCCCTGACGATGGGCCATCAGGCCTTCCCATACATTAATGGCACTGCCTGAACTTCTCACATGGTTTATTTGGGTGACTGTCTTACCTCAGATCTGTCACAAGGACCACCTTCCCCAGCCCCTGCTTGCTTGGTGGAGAGACCCTCTTGTCCTCTGAAAAAGTGGTGCCTTGACCATTTTCCTTCAGCTTCCACAGCCCCTCTGCCTCACAGATAGTTTCTGTTTTCTGCTAGGAAATCATGAGTTCTAGGAAGCCACAGAGTCCTTATTTTCACCATTTCTGGTAATTGCACTAAACAACTCAACAAACTGTCAGACACTGCAAGATGATAAGTTTGAGCCACCTTGACTGGCCCCTAACATGGCCATGTTGACTCCATGCTGAGCAAAATGACCAAAATTTCCAGGACACTTCCAGCAGCTACTGATGCTTATGATCCTGGAACCCAGGGTCACACTGGGACCTGCTGGGTCCCCCAGGTCGTCTCCCTGTCCCTTCTAGACATCCATTCATACCAGTCAGGGTCAGCTTACTGCATGCATGTGAAGTGACCCAGTCCAAAGATTGGATGGATGGAACTGACAGGCCCTAGCTCAGTGTGGCATGCGCTCTTCCAGGGAGACCTCGCAGTTCTGCCTGGGGAGCACAGCACAGCTGCCCTGGCCCTTGAGCGGGATCCATCCCTCCAAGCTTTCCCCAGCCAATGGTGGACAAGCTGGCTTTCCCCACCGAGACCCGCAAGATCCCCCATGCTGAAAGAGGGCTCTGCCGCAGTGAGACATTTGTGCTTCCTCTGTGGCCCCGGATGTGTTGGTCTGCTGTGGTCCCTTGTCCCCGAAGCTGCACGATGTAAATGGTTCATGAAACCCAAGCTATGGAAATCCTCAGTGTTCATAACTGTCTTTTTTCCTCTTGGTGCTTCACTTGAAGGCCGACGACACCTACCTCCAGCTGAAGAAAGACCTAGAGTACTTGGATCTAAAGGTGAGTGATGGCTGGGGTCCCACCTTCCTTGGACATTTGCCTTTCTGAGCGTGTCACCTCACTGGAGCCGAGCCCAAAGCCAAAGGCCACACAGGCCTTATCAAAGCTGGATCCCAAACAAAGACGTCTGCTGGCTGAATCTTTTCTTTCTTTCTTTTTTATTGAAGTAGAGTCTCACTCTGTCACCCAGGCTGGAGGGCAGTGGCATTCTCCTGGCCACTGTAGCCTTGACCTGCTGGGCTCAGGCGATCCTTCCGCCTCAGCCTTCCAAGCAGCTGGAACTACAGGCATGTGCCACCATGCCTGGCTACTTTTTTTTTTTTTTTAATTAGAGATGAGGTCTTGCCAAGTTGCCCAGGCTGGTCTCAAACCCCTGGGCTCAGGCAATCTTCTCGCCTCTGCCCCTCCCAAAATGCTGAGATTACATACTTGAGCCACTGCGCCCCAGCGCATTTTATTTCTTACAGCCTTAAACTCTGAATCTTCTCAGTTTCTTGTGAATTCTGCTTGAGGTCTCTGGCTTATAGCATGAGGGTACAAGACTTGATCTCTTCCTTTCCTTGGTCAGAACCAAAAGGTCCCTCCAAAGATAGCCAGTTGCTTTTTGCTTTTTCAGAGCATTCTTTGAGGGCAGCGGCATGTGTTTGGTCCCTGGGGTGCCAGGGCTGGGTGTTTTTATAAGTGGTATGGTGGGTTCTTTGGTTTTATTGCTTGGGGAGCAGATTCTACATGGAATCACGGGGCTTAGGGCCTCACCACTGCTCTCCCATCTCTGTTTAGATGATGCACACTGGGCCCTTCCCTGTAGGTGATCAAACTTCAGGCTGTAAATCAGCCGTCTGGGCACAGAGAGTTGCAGAAGCTCCTTCAACTGCAGGAGGCATCCTGCCTGCCAGACAGCACCATTGTTCTCTACCCACGGTTCTCTGAAAGCTCCCACTGTGAAAGCACTTCTTATGTGGAATGGGAGGAATGTGACCTTTTATTAGCTGTGGGTCTGAGATGGTGGGTAAGGGGCCTGTGAGACACCCAGGCGACTGCCATAGGGTGGGGGAGTAGCCTTTCTCCCCGCAGTCCTCAGTGTACCTGACTTGAGATATTTTTAATACAGGGTCTTCCTCAACCAGCCTTGTAGGACCTTGTAGGCTATGAACGTTAGGTCCTAAGGCAACAGATGGGGAAGGGCCTTTGATTAGAAATCAGAAAGCAGGTGAGACCAGGGCCTTTGATTAGAAATCAACCCATGCACCTCTGGGTTTGTTAAGCACTTGCTGTGTACCCAACTCTGCAGAAGCCATGGGAAGGAGCAGGAGAAAAATTGATACTGTCTGGTCTTGAGAAAATTCCAACTTGTCTTGGTTGGGGAAAGAAAATATCCTCCAATAACAGACATCTGTGTGTTGACTGTGCAAAGATCAGTTCTCAGAGCTGAGAGAGTCTGAGGGCTATAATACCGGGAGGGCTTCTGGAAGGAGGTGGCATGCGGGTGGAGCCTAGAAGAGCAGAGGATTGGGTTTGGTTGAGATCAAAGGGAGGAGACAATGGGAACCAAAGAGAGCCAGGGCACAGTGATGAGGCCAGCACAGCATAGGGAAGGCAAAGGAGGGCTGTGCATACTTCTGGTTCTATCCTAGGCTTTAGGGAAGAAGATGCCACAAACAAGAAGTCGGACCTGGCTTTAGGACATGAGAACCAGGAGTGTTCTTTCAAGACCAGGAGGTTTTCTAGCTTCTGTGACAGTCAGGGCACTCAGAGCTTAAGTGGGTGCTGTAAGTAGAGTAGTAATTCCTTAGGATTCAAAGTGCTCAAACATGGCTGTGTGGGCTCAGCTCGTCCTCCCACAGCCTGCTGGGACAGGCAGGGTCCTTCCCGCCAAACGCCTGGGAGAAGTCCACCAGCTCCCAGCCTCTTCCTGTCCTGTACCATGTCCCCGTTCCTTGGCCTCCCTGGCAGCCAGTCAGCAGCTGCCTGGCTGGTTCTTCTCACTGTCCCCCACCACTCCGGGACCTCACACCCTAGAGCATCCACAGTGTCCCTGGGCCTGTGGGAGAGGCTTGGTGTATCATGAAACAGGAGTGTCAGAGTGTTTGGGGCAGAGGGAACTTAGCAACACAGTAAGAGTCATAGGTAATATGTCTTCCCTTTCCTGCATGTATGTGATAAGTGGAAACTCGAAGTTGCTCCTGGAGTGAAGCTCCGCACTAGGTTTGTCTTAATTCGGGGTCATAGAATCTGAACTACGAGGGATTAAAGAAGGAGAAACTGAGCCACAGGATAGTGGGCAGCGCTGGGAGTCCCTGTGTGTCCTGACTCCAGCAGGAGCTTAAAACAGCCAGGGGTATAATGTGTGCCTGCAACTGGGTTTTACTTCTGTTAAATTTGTTAACCTCCATGGGAGCCCTGGAAGGGAGGTGGTGGTGTCATCTTTAACCAACCATAGCTCAGAAAGGTCAACAACTTTTCCAAGGTCACACCAGCAGTTATGGGGGAGGGGAGCAGGGGAGGAGGGAGTATGTGAGTGTGGCCCTAACTCAAAAGCCTGTGCTCTTTGTCACCTTGCCACATGGCCGCTCTTAAAACGCTTCTTCGGCCGGGTGTGGTGGCCCAAGCCTGTAACCCCAGCCAGCACTTTGGGAGGCCAAGGCGAGAGGATTGCTTGAGTTCAGGGGTTCGAGACCAGCCTGGGCAACTTGGTGAGACTTCATCTCTACAATAAATCAAAAAATTAGCCGGGCATGGTGGCTCATGTCTATAGTTCCAGCTACTTGGAAGACTGAGATGGAAGGATAGCTTGAGCCCAGCAGGTTGAGGTGGCCGTGAGCATGCCACACTGCATTCTAACCTGGGCGATAGAATGAGACTTCAACTCAAAACGAAACAAAACGCTTCTTCTCCTACTGTGAACTCAAAGTCACTGAGTTTTTTCGGAACTGAGCTTGGCTATAGCGCCATTGTATTTGATGAATTAGAGAGAGGCAGTTTCCCCTCTTGGGGTGTTTTACTAGATAGGAGCTGTATGTGATCAGAATGTTTTCTAGTGATTGGACTTTCTAGAAGTTGTCATTCTGTGTCATGGAAAAACAGCTGTTTTGATACCAAAATCTTCCTGGTCTTGTAGCTGCTACTTCAGTTGCTAAGCTCCTCTCAGAGAAGTAGATCCCCGGATGACCGGCATCGGCATTTTGGGAGGGGTTAGGCTCTCCAACAGCATGTGTGAGAAACATGCCAGGCTTTGCGCTGAGCATGTGTGAGCAGTCTGGCATGGCTGCCAGACCCCCTTGGCCTCCCTCAGAGGGCCAGAGCTCAGACCAGGAGGCAGTAGGCCTGCTCTGGCCTGCTGAGATCCAACTGGGGTATAGGTTCCAAGATGGGAGGGTCCCACTTCCAGATCCAGGTGAGGGAAGGGCTGGAATCGGGAGAGAGGGCTGGAATTAAGGACCTGTAGGACCATGGCTGGGGCTCTTAGGCAGGATGCTTTTATCCACAAGTATCTGAAACCCAACCCCCTAAGTCAAAAAGGGGGTATTCTAATTCACATGGCCAGGGGCTATGTTCCAGAGGCTCAGGCCACATTGTCACTGTTCTGCTTTCTTTGGTGTGTCAGCTGCCTCCTTTCCTGCAGAACAAGGGCTGCCTCCATGTGGGCAGGGAAGGCGGCCACCTGCAGGCCCAAGTTCATTCCCTAGCCAGCATCCCGTGTGGTGAGGGAGAAGTTCCCTAATGGGAAAGCAGGCTGGGCAGAGAAAAGAAACACAGCAGCTACAATGCAGAACCATCAAAGGAGTTAGGGGCAATTCGGGAGAGGCATAGAGACACAGGCCTATAAAGCTCTGGTGTGTCACTGTGTGTTTTCTGTGGCCCTAAGGAGGAATTAAGACAATTAGCTGGACATGGTGGTTCACGCCTGTAATCCCAGTGCTTTGGGAAGCCAAGGTGGGAGAATTGCTTGAGACCAGGAGTTCAAGACCAGCCCGGACAACATAGCAAGATCCTGTCTATACAAAATTAATTAATTAATTAGCTAATTGATTGCCTGGCATAGTAGCATGCACCTGTAGTCTTAGCTACTCAGGAGGCTGAGGCAGGAAGACTGCTTGAGCCCAGGAGTTTGAGGCTACAGTGAGCTATAATCCATGATCACACCACTGCACTCTAGCCTGGACAACAGAATGAGACCCCAATTCTGAAAAAAGAAAAAGAAGAAAAAAAGAACTCCCAGCACTTTGGGAGGCCAAGGTGAGTGGATTGCCTGAGCCTGTGGGTTCGAGACCCACCCGGGCAACTTGGCGAGACCTCGT